AATTACAATGTTTTCATTGTGTTTTTATCTAAATCACTTGTTTTTATTTTACTGTGAACACAGTAATATAATTGTGGATTTTTCCTGAGAAAATCTTTCATTTATCTGGACTAACAGAAGGTTCAGAACTGATTATAAAACAGAAATGTTAATTAATCATCATAAATGTTTTGCAGTGATTTCTCTTGAGTCTACCAGAAGAAAGCTAAATCATGATGTTGTTGAACAACCACAGAATTTAATCTTGACTGGCGCCTGGCTGGCAAGTCTGTATCTTTCTTCTCTGACTCATCTCTAAGCCTGAGGGTGGAACCAAAGTTCGTCAGTTTCTTTGACTAACCATGGATGTCTTTGAGCGATACACTCTTCTTCCTGACGCCAAACTAGGAAGAAAGCTGGGTTTCTCTCCYGAGAGACTCAGTTTGGCTTGTTAGGTCCTTCCCATGAGCTAACTAGGGAAGACAACAGCCGGGACCCCAGGCGCCGCCGGCGGTCCCACCCAGAGGCTTCAAGCCTCCAAGTGTGTTTTTACCTCCAGAGGGGAGATTTTATTTTGAAAGAAGGAACCGGATGTACAGCTTGAATCTTTCTGGCTTGGACTGAAACAGACGAAAAGTTACCTGGAAAACACCTACTCTCCAAGGACAGTAAGCGAGCCGATAAAAAAGTTACCTGACTGATCGGAGGTGAGACAGTTCCTACCCAGGGGTGACTCAAGAAGCATCACCAGGTAAAACTGACGTGTTTAAGGTGACGTGTCATGTGGACCCTGAGCGCAGAAAGGACGTGCTGATCCGGCTGAACCACACTTTGTTAAAGTAAAAGTAGTAGAAATACTAACCTTACTTTCCTCCTTTTCTTTGTTTTTATTTGCCAAAATTTAAGCTATAAGTGCCAGTAAAATRGTTTGGTTGTTAACATCAGAACTGACGTTTTACTGTTCTATATAAGTAATCTGAGTTGATGTGAATTGAAATTCGGACGCGGATTTTCATCTCATTTAACTTTGACACTTTTTATAGGAATACCCACAATCAAGTGTACTTATGATCTGTTCAATTTTTGTAAATAAATGATTGCATAGTCTTTTATGAATCAACTTGAACTCATCTGAACGCTCACTTATTGTGTCACTTTTCACTTTGCACAGTCAAGATATTAAAAGTAATGAGAAAATGTCTTGGTAAAAGTTTCCTCATAACTTTGTGTATGGGAGATGTGGGAGAAGCTTAATGCCACCTTAAGCCCTACTCCTACATGAGTAAATACAATTCTAACATTTGATTTAATAACATTAGTACCTTGATATCAATGCCTCTTGCTGAGGAGGTGTTGTTGAAGAAGCGGGAGGGAATCTTTGCAGACATATCAGGCTCTTCTCGACCAAACCCCAGATTTAAAAGGATTTCCTCGGGGTCCTCTTCATACAAGTCCAGTAACTCTGAAACACTGGGAAGAGACACTCAGGCAGTTAGCCACCAACATTATAATCCATTATTTCTGACAGATATGACACAATGAGTTCAACTTTAGCACAAAAATGTAATAAATGTGTGTTAAAACAACAGAAAAACTTTATAATGTAACTATTACTTCAATGGTTGCTTTATGACCTTTTATAATAAAATGATCTCTGTTTGAGCCAATGACTTTAACTGATGCTTATCTTTCTTTGAGTTTTTATTACAAAAATTAATTCTGCTGTGCAAAACAAATGACTGTTTTATTATGGATGGGACATCTCTGGCAGAGTGGTTTTGAGAGTGGTCCTGTAGTTGCTGGTTCAACCCCCCGTTGGATCCGTGTCAGTCATTATGTCCATGGGCAAGGCACTTTACATGCAGTGCCTGCTGGTGGTCAGAGGGCCTGGTGGTGCTGGTGCATGGAAGTTTCACCACTGTCGGTCTGCCCCAGAGCAACTGTGGCTACTATGTAGCTTACCACTGTAGCCACAACGAAGGGAGAAGCAGCAAGGGTGATAACTGTTCCTGCATTCTGCCACACTGTTTTCACCTGTGGGGGCACCACATCAGCTTTTGCTGATGAATACTTTTTCATCCTTTATAAATCTGACTCATCTAAACAAAAGTATGACATCATAAGAATGCAGTGTTCATAAGCATGAATATTTAATGATGAAGAAAAACAGCTTCACCTTTATGATAATTTTCAAACTTCATTAAATAATGATTCAAACTGCAAACGGAATAGCATAAAAGACTAAGACAATGAATGCTGGTCAATGTATTGTGATATTGATTTTAGGCCATAATCACGTTTTCATATTGGTCTTAGTCAACTGCAACACTTTGTGGCTTACTAATCAATAATGTTTCTATTGGTTTTAGGTATAGTAACAACATGACGGAATAACTTCCTTCCATTTTATTCCATTGTTTTTTTCTGGACAAACATTAGTGATAMAAATTAAAAAACAAATAATAGTGAACTAACCTGGACACAGTGCTGCTCTTCCCTGATCCTGTTGAGTTCATACTTCTGCCTCTCTCTTTATACTGATTTCTTTTCTGATCTGCCACCAGATCAAAACTGTAGACAACAACAAACAAGAAATTATAAGTGTACATCGACAGAGTAGAGTAAGAGTCTGAAATAACACRTTTAATGAAATGTGAAGACAGAAAATAAAAAAATAACCTACCGAGGTCCAGTTTTGTTGTTGGTGGACTGAAGATGATTGGCTGCAGAGACAAAAATAAAAAATCAATTGTGTCAAGTAACACTCAGCTGCTAATTGGCATGACATTATAAGGGCATTTTAGAAAGAATTAAAAAAATAACTTCTGGGGAGCTTTGGCTTATTTCTCATTTTACTTTTTTATGCAAGAAATATTTACCTAAAAACTAAGACAATAGTTTATACTCTGTCTATATCTTTCCACACTTCTATTACAGTTGACTTTTCCAAAAAAGAGTCTAGAATGGAAGTGCAATGTAACAAGTAGTTTTGTTGAATTCTACTTGGATTATTTAGTTTGTCAGGTCTTATTCTCACACAAACACAACTAATATGCACAGGGCTCAAAATGTATTTGTCCTAGTACCAATAAACTAATGACAAAAAAGAAAATTCTCATTAAACTATCAATTAGGAAGTCACTTTCCTCACAGTCATTGTCTAAAAAATACACCAAATTCATTAAAGATTTTGATTAAAAACCTTGTGAAACAACTGGAATTAGATTTTTTTTTATTGAGGCGGTTACCACATCTGATGGTATGGCTTCAACAAACTATAGCTTTAGAGGGTCACTGCAGGATCAGAAACAAACAAAAAAAATGTATTCCAACTCTCGTAGTACATGAAATTGTACTTGGGATGATGGCAAATCTGTTTTAACTACATGAAGGATAACCAAATCCATTATTTTGAGGATTTGCAAAATTCAATGCAGTTAGTAAGTTTTAAACTATTATCTATTGGAACTTTTGTATTTGGAGGGTACTCATTAGTGATAACATTCATATTTGACT